TAAAAATAGAGTCATTGGTAATCAGGCTCGCGGGCCGGTCAAAATGCCTTCGCGGGCCGGATCCGGCCCGTGGGCCGTAGGTTGCCGACCTTTGGTTTAGAGCGAAGCAACAAAAATTATGTTTATCTCTAAATTAAGACACATACAGGTACCTAGATCCTATGTACAAACTGGCGCCTAGATCTTACGTACACACATACATCGAGGTACTATATACACATTGGCACCTAACTCCCTTCAACACAGAGGCGGCTAAATCGTATATACACAGGCGCCTAGATCTTATGTAGACCCAGGCACGTAGGTACTGTGTACATATAGGCACCTATATTTTATGTACACACAGCCGACTAGATCGTATCTACACACAGGCATCAAGGTAATGTGTACATATAGGTACCTACATCCTATGTAGACATAGACATCTATGTTCGATATACACACAGGCACTAGATTCTATGTATACACAGACGCCTAGATCCTATGCATACGCAAGCGCGTAGATCATATATACACACAAATACCTACATCCTATGTTCACATAGATTTCTAGATCCGTTCTACATCCAGGCGCCTAAACTAAGCAGACACAGGCACCTAAGTATGTCTAAACATAGCCACCTATGAACCACCTAGATCTTATTTACACACAGACATCTAGGTACTGTGTACACATAGGCACCTAACTCCTATGTACACAGAGGTATCAATATATTATGTACACAGAGGCGCCTAGATCGTTTATACACACAGGCGCCTAGATCTTATGTAGACTGCGTACCAAATTATTATCAAGATAACTTTTTTCTAATATTTCAAAGTCCCTCCAATCAATTCACACAAAATTTTCACACAATGTTGGCAACACTGACCTGCACAATCACTGAAATTTTCGTACTGATCTGCGCAATGTAAACAAACTGGCGCCATATTTGTTATCAGCACGGTGATTTGAGCGTGCCAAATTATTAGAATAGTGTAAGAATTTAGTGAAAAGATGGGCCGTAAAAGCAGTTTAAGTGATGCTGAAAAGAAAACTTTCACCTCAGAACTCTCAAAAGCTAAATCTACCATAGAAATTTCTAAAATGATAGTGAGGTGTCGTCAAACAGTGAAAAAGTTCACCGCCGACACTAAACAAGTACCCAAAAGGGTATAATAAAGGCAAGCCGAGGGTTATTTCACGTTGTCTCATGTCACGACTTAAACGAGAGGCCACGAAGAACCTTGGACTTACCAGTCAAGAGCTTTTCAGTCGAATTGGGGATCCTACTGTGTCTAAAAGTACTCGGTGTCGGTATCTGAGGGAAATAGCAACAACAGTCAAACCTGTATGGAAGCCTCCGTTGACGAGAAATCACATTCAAAATCGATTGAAATGGGCCGATGACAATATGAAGATTGACTTCTCTAAAGTTTTGTTCACAGACGAAACTCGAGCAACACTTGATGGGCCAGATAGATGGTGCAATGGCTGGGTAATGAACGGACAGAATCGCCATCAGCGTTTGAGACGCTAACAAGGCTGTGGAGGCATAATGATCTGGGGTGGTATTATTGGAAAAACATTAGTGGGCCCGTGGAGAGTACCAGGTGGCGTCAAAATGACTGCTGATGCATACATAGCGTTTATGAAGGAGCATCTTGAAGCGTGGATGAAAAGGCAAAGAGTTGCCTTCAGAAGGGACATTGTTTTTATGCAAGATAATGCTCCTTCACATGCTGCTCACAAGACTACTGGATATTTGAAACAGTTAGGCTTCGATGTACCTCGAAAAATGAAGTGGCCAGCAAATTCTCCGGATTTGAACCCAATCGAAAACCTTAGGGGCATCATGAAGCGAAGACTGTACGCCAACGGACGACAATTCAGGAGCAACGCTGAGTTGTGGGAAGCAATTCTTGATATATCTCACGGCATTACAGCAGATGACATCCTGCAATTAACAAATTCTATGGATCGTCGACTTTTTCAAGTAATTTCAAAACAGGGAAAGCACATTCCCTATTAATTTGTTTAAAACTGTGCCTTTGTTTGTATCTGTTATTATTTGTTTGATTATCTTATTTATTAGCTTCTTTCGATCATAAACATTCACGTGTAATATTAATAAACGTTTTGTTTGCTCAATTCTGGGAATTTTACTAAATCTTTCTAATAATTTGGCACGCTCAAATCACCATGCTGATAACAAATATGGCGCCAGTTTGTTTACATTGCACAGATCAGTACGAAAATTTCAGTGATTGCGCAGGTCAGTGTTGCCAACATTGTGTGAATTGATTGGACGGTTTTTGAAATATAAAAAAAAAGTTATCTTGATAATAATTTGGCACGCAGTGTAGACACCTATATCCAATGTACACACAGGCGACTAGATCGTATCTATACACAGGCACCAAGGTATTGTGTACATATAGGCACCTAGCTTCTATGTACACACAATCACCTAAACCTTATGTAGACATAGACGCCTAGATACTATGTACACACAAGTGC